ATGCCGAGCTCGGGCTCAGAAAAGGACCCGAAACAGACGTGTACCTAGTGTAGGGTGTAAGGGGAAAAGCGAACCTTGGACGCCTGCCATATGCAATGAGAAAACTTAAAACACCTAACCTAACCCTAGGGACGCAAGACCATAGCTTTTCCGCTCAGAAAATTAGAGAAGCCATCACAATCTAATCAGCTCCGGCCAGCATCTGTCTGCAATAACCGAGGCATATGCCGCTTTTCCACGACCCTATCGGATCGATACGCCGGACCGGTCTGTGAACATGCGAGAAGCGATGCCCATGGCTTGCAATTCTTGGAAGAGCAGTTTGGCCGCGTAGGGGATATGGATCTGGGCGATCTTGGTCTTGTTTTTGCAGGGCCGGCACTCAAAGTTTTGTTGTTGCAGTTGACTAAAACGAGGCGTTTCATGTCAGTTATGAGGAAAAAGGAAAGGGCGGGAAGGGGAAGGGCCGCTTACGCTACGGGCGTCATGAGGCCACAGATCTCGCAGATGTGGACTCGGAAGGCATCGGAAACCTCGAACAGTCTCTCCTTCAGGAAGGCGGCGGCGCCGTGGGCAATCATACAATCGCGCTCCATTTCTCCGAAACGCAAGCCACCATCTCTGGCGCGACCCTCGACGGGCTGGCGCGTCATGATCTGCACGGGACCGCGGGCGCGTGCGTGGATCTTGTCGTCCACCATGTGTCGGAGTCGCTGGTAGTATGTCGGGCCAAAGAAGACCTGCGCCCTCAGTTTACGTCCTGTGTGACCGTGATACATGATCTCGAAGCCGCGCGACTGGTAGCCGTGCTCGCGCAACAGGCTCGAGACCGAGTCCACCGTGACGTCGGTGAACGGCGTCGCATCACCCTCCATACCTTTCAGAGTGGACACCTTGCTCAGCAAGCACTCGATCAGATGGGCAATAGTCATACGAGAGGGAATGGCATGGGGGTTGATGATGATGTCAGGCACGATGCCTTCGCGGGTGAAGGGCATGTCCTCGTTGCGGTATGTCACTCCGATCGTGCCCTTCTGCCCGTGGCGAGAAGCGAACTTGTCGCCGATCTGCGGGATCTTGGTGGTCCGCACCCGCACCTTGACAAAACGCAGGCCGTCTGCGTTAGTCGTAAGCACCACCGAATCGATGATGCCGCTTTCGGTGCTACGTAGCGGCGTGGAGGCGTCACGCTTGACGTGGATCTTCTGGCGCTGGCCCATTTCTTCGTTGTCCGGGCTGATGGGCGCCGTCTTTCCTATGATGATGTCTTCTCCTGAAACCCGGATGCCGGGCGCAATGATGCCATCATCGTCCAGCTTGTCGTACGTGCCCTGCTTGAGCCGCAGCGTATCGGCCCGGAACGGCTTCTCGAACTGCTCGACAGTGTTGATACCGACCCGCTTCTCCTGGTCAGAGTACGAGCGGAAGAACAGACTTCGGAACAGGCCGCGGTCGATGCTGCTTTGGTTCATGATAACCGAATCTTCTTGGTTATAGCCTGAGTAACAGGCGATGGCGACAATGGCGTTCTGGCCGGCGGGCAGCTCTCGGAACTTCAGGTACTCCATCGATCGAGTCGTGCCGAGCGGTTTCTGAGGATAGTAAAGGATATTCGCCATGGTATCCATGCGACGCGAGTAGTTGGTCAAGAAGAAGCCCATGGCCTGTTTACCCATAGCCGACTGGTACGTATTTCGTGGGGACTGGTGCCACCGTTAGCGGACAAGGCCAGTCAATGGGAGAAGGGGAGGGAAGAGCAGTTTCGAAACTCACCTGGTTATGATCTGGGAAGGGGATAATGCTGGCGCAAATGCCCAAGATCATGCTCGGATGGATTTCGCAGTGGGTGTACATGTGCGTGGACGGGTTCATCTTGGTCTTCAGCCGCTTGTTGAGAGACTCGTTGGTATCTTCCTGCTCGGGGGCGCCCAGCTTCGCCTGTCTGTAGCTTTCCAAGTCCTCGGGCGTCATGCAGATCATGGCAGTCTCCTCCTCCTCCGCGTCCAGGTACTCGATCACACCAGCATTCACTAGGCCTTGCCATCCAAAGTGCTCGTCGCTGTCAGGCGGGAGGGCCTGGTCCATCTCCAGTCTCCGCACCATCTCCTTGGTCAGGGCCAAGGACCCCTTCTGGATGCCGTTCTCGTAATCGTCCTCCTGTTCAACGACGAAGAGCGGCCGCATGACACGTCCGGCATCCGAGAAGATTTTGAACTCACGATCACGAATATCTCGAATCAGCGACACCTCGGCAGGGATCTGGTTCGCTCGGCGCAGCTGCTGAACGTCTCGCACGAGAGATCGCGCGTCTTGGTGGACGCCGATCCACGAGCCGTTGAGGAAGATCTTGGTGGCATGGGGATATCGCTGGGGCTCGTACTCCTCAAGTACTTCCATGTTCCGCGAAATCATGTATTCAATAATCGGCTCTGTGGATGTACCCACGCTTATCGAGCACATCAGTGAAAGATTCTTCACCAGACCGCAAGCCTGGCCTTCCGGCGTCTCGGCCGGGCAGACGAGGCCCCAGTGGGTGTTGTGGAGCTGTCTCGGCTTGGCGAGTTTACCGTCCCTGCCGACGGGCGTGTTGGTTCTGCGCAGATGAGACAGGGTGGACGCAAAAGTGTACCGGTTGAGCACTTGGGAAACGCCAGCGGTAGAGCTCATGGCCTTCTTCTGGTCGCCCCAGTTGCCCGTGGCAAGAGAGTACTTCAGCCCACCCGTGATGATGTTGGCCTTGACGGCCAGGGCGATGTTGAACTGCTTTCCCTGGTCGATACTCCGCTTCAGGTGCGACAACACATCCTGCGTCATACGCCGGACGATGTTGCGGAAGAGCTTGGCGAGCAAAGGTCCAGCGAGATCCAGGCGCTTCTTGCCAAAGTGATCACGGTCGTCGGTATCGCGCCGACCCAGTGCACATTGCAGCAGCTTGTGAACCATGTAGCCCAGGAAGAAAGCCTTTCGGGTCTCGCACCCCTCTTCCTGCGAAATGTGCGGCAGCATCTCCTTTTGTAGCGTATCCTTGGCAGCTCTCACTCGACGCTCACGTGCGGTCCCGTGGCTGTGGTTCCCGCGTTTGCCGATATAATCAAGCGCGACTTCTCGGTCCTGGATGCAGAAGGCCTCCTCGATACAGGGCCGCAACATCTCCAGCATCTGGCTGTCGTTGCGGTCATAGCAGATGGTGTTCAGAATCTCTTCGTCACTCACAACGCCCAGTGCCCTGAAGACGATGGCGATGGGCACGTCCGACTTGACGTACGGCAGCGTGGTATGTATCGTCTGACCGTAGCCTCCCTTGGTGGTGTCTCCTTTGGTGTAGAGCTTCAGCATCAAGGATGAGATCAGGCGGGAGCCCTTCTCGAGCGCGCTCCTGATCTCGGCCGTGTACGAATACGGGCTTGGCTGGCCCTTCTTGAAGACCTGGACGATGTTGGCCGCAGAACGCTCCTGGGCGATGAGAACCTTCTCACTTCCGTTGATGATGAAATAGCCGCCCAGATCGTAAGGACACTCGTTCAACAGGAATAGGTCGTCCTCGGACTCGCGGCTCAAGTGGCAGGCCTTGGATTTCACCATGACAGGGAGCTTGCCGATGAACAGGCTGTTGGGCGCTTCGATACGGTCACCGCCAGGCTTGTATTTCAGAACGTTTTCCTCTTCCTCCCAGACAAATCGAACAGGCTGAACCCCGGTCTCGACGTACTCCTTCTGCTGCTCCTCCGTCATGTCCTCGAGGGGGACGGGCTGTTCGATGCAGACAGAGACCTTGCTTTCCACCTTTGCGTAAACCGGGCTGGCGTACGTCATATTTCGGTCTCGGCATTCGTAGGGGAGCAGGGGGCTAGATGTGCCCTCAGTCTCGGAGACGACGGGGCGAGAAATGGTGACATTTCCAAACTTCAATTCATAGCGACGGCATACGACCACGCGGCCATCGTGGCTGGGGGGGTGGTTCTGGTCGATGCTGAGATGGCTGTGCTCGTCTAGTAGCTCTTGTAAGGTGGTTGCCTGGAAATCGTTGAAGGAGTCGATCTGTTGCGAGACAAGGCTCTTGTGGTCAAAGAATGAAGAGATGACAGTCCAGCAATCCTCGGGGCTGATGGTATCGCCGTATTCTTCTTCATATTCGTAGCCCTCGTCATAGTCCGCCATGGCGACGAAATGGGTCAGACCCGATGCGGGAGTGACGGAATTTGTGGGACGAGGCAGAGGATAGGTTGGTGGCGTCTATAAGGTGGTGAGTGAGTGTGATGACACGATTGAAATCGACGCGGTGCGCAGCAGGGAATCCAAGGTTGGCAGGCTATCGGTCGGCTGGTCTAGGTGCAGATGAAATCGACAGGAAATTCGAGGACGAAGAAACGTGGAAGAAGCACGCAGAACAAGCACGCCTCACGCGTAGTTGCACCGTCAACGCAGCTACATGCAGTGGCAACCAGTAGTTGCTTCTGCTGCTCCCGCTTCCACAGTGGCTGGCAAAGGTCGTTCAGCTCTGCAGGATGATCGGATGCAAGGAAACAATACAGGTGTGTTGGCAAGTTGTGGATTGCCTCTCTTCGCAGTTTGCCTCTCCCGACGGCAAGTTTCCGGTGGGATGGGTTAGGTTAGGTCGAATGAAGAGGGAGTGAAAGATGGACAATGACTTTTTGCAAGGTCGCAGATGGAACCTGTTGCTGATTGATCAAAGAGTCGCGAGACAGGCCGTGGCAAACCAGACGCTAGTACAGAGAAGGCTAACCTAACCTCAAAGGCACAGAGCTGCATTACTTTACTACAGAAGGTCCGCTTATTGGTGTCACCATGTACTGCTGTACTACCTATGTATGTACGCAAGTACATAGGTACTTAACCTAAAAAGAGTGGAAGAACTCTTCTAGATGAATATTATGTAGTAACCAGAGAGATTTGAATAAGGAGGTGCACACGAAATGGTTATGTTATGAGAATCACTAAACAGGTCGCCTTCCAACCAATTACAATGGGTATCTTCTCTAGGTTGTATAGTATAGTGGTCAGTACGGCTCGTTGTGGAGGGACAATACCCGAGCAGACTCAGGTTCGATTCCTGATACAGCCAACATATAAGGACGATACCTCCAAGTCCTGATGCGATATCAAAATTTCCCCTCCATTCTTATTTTTGTTAAAAAATGTACCAAGATATGATGAACTGACCTCTTATGATCAACTTAATTGATAATGAATGTAGAAATGTCAACTCTTCTTCACCCACACTTCGTCGATCGGGTCTCCATGTCCCTGGACACACTCCCACTGGCCGGTACCGTAATGGTCAGGTGCTCTACGCATCCCTCGTCCACCGCCTCCTACAATCAAGTTCCCAGGTCGATATGTCGGGTCCATTGTCATGCGCCGAATGACCGATCCGTGTATACGGGCTGTCTCGGGGATGTCGCGTGTCTCGCCCGCTGGGAGCGGCCATCGGATCGGCTCCCATGACCCGTCGGGTTTCAGATCCATCCGTCTGAACGGCAGGTACTCCATCAGCTTCCAGCTCAGCACCTGCATCGTTCCCAGGCCGGACGAGAAACTGAGCGAGTCGTGGATGCGAGCCACGTGGGCCTTGTGCATCATGTCGTGGAACGGCCGTGGGCGCGGCGCTGCCTCCTCCTTCTCCTCGAAGACCCCTGTGTGGAAATGGCCCCAGTTCTCTCGAGCCGGTGGCGTGCAGGGGCTGGGACTCGACACGTCGATGCGAATGTCTGGCACTTGGCCTTCTTCCCCGACGTCTCCGGGGCCGTCATCGCTGCCCTGACAGTGAGCCGGGTCTTCTACCACGCCCATGTCGACGAGCTTCTGAGGATCGAAGCTAAGGCCCGCCTTCTGAGCCTGCCTGATCATGTAGACCAGAGGAACGTGGCTCGCCGACTTGGATCCGGGGAGTATTTCCCACCCTCCGCCAACATCGGCATGCCCACCGCTGTCGCGCGTTAGTAGTCTTATACCGTACCAAAGTGGAAACTGAAGAGCGACCGAATGGGGAAGGGCTTAGGGTTCATGAAATCTGAGCGTCATGGGCAAACTTACTATTGATAGTCAAGTTAGCTTGGTACATCGGGATAAACAGATTCAAGCTGGATATGTTTGGGGGGGGGGGGGGGGGGGGGCAGCAAAAATTACCCCGAACCAAATAAAAAAGATGTCCTTTTATTATTAGTATTTGGCGCAGTACCAGACGTCGTAAAAACCGGGTGATATTTCCGCCCAACCGAC